ATGTCACCCTGACAATGTTACAACTATGTCCTGGAAGGTTCATTGGTAGGCATGAGTTCAGTCACTCTCCATATCCATTCCATCCTCAGCTTCTCTGCTGAGATCTCGAGCAATGGGACTGGTTTCGGCTTGGGCCTATCTCTAATAGCAACTGAGTGATGTCTCATTGTTTGCATGGCAACATACATGTTGGACTTGATCCTGCCGTGTGCAGTCACCAAGCCTGTGCTGAGCAGGAAGCCCAGAGGACACGTGCTGAAGAGATCCTGCTGCGTTGGCCGTCATGATATTCCAGACTAGTAGAAGGAGTGAAACCTAGGAGTGGCTATAGGTAGGCAAGAGGCCCATTTGCAGGTTGATGATTAGACCTGAGGCTGTATCTCCCCACACCACCCATTCTCCTTGCACCCTGCCACTAAGGCAGTGGGCACACAAGACTTTGAGACTTACCGTACAATCCCTGAGGACTGGGCTGAATGTTTAGCCTAACTCATGCCCACACATGGCCACCATCTACTCTGGTGCTTGTCAGCAATTCGCAAGGACCTGCAGGATCAAGGCTGAAGTGTTTTGGGGTGCCAAGCAGCCTTCAAGTACACCTCTGATGTAGACATGTGATCTGCTCTTCCCCATTCTCCCCACTCCCCATCTGGGGTGGTTTAAATGGAAGAGCCGTCAGGGAGCAACCTTCTTAGCACCCCACGGTGACGCAACCCATCCAAGACCATGTTTCTGTGGTGGGAAAGGCATGCTGTGCCCTGAGAGCGCCTAAGAGTCACAGCTTTCTGCAGCCTGAAGCAGCAGCCGGGGAAGAAATGGGGAATTGGGAAAATCCAGCTCCCCGTTATTCTGTCCTTGTTGCTGCCCACTGTTCATGTCACAGTCAGGGAGGGAGAGGTGGGTCAGGAGAAGCCATGGACTTTGTAGTTGACAACTTTTTGGAAGTGCAGTGCAGAACAGGGAGACATGGATCTGCGTTCACATCGCACTCCCCGTCAGTACCCAGCCTGGGCCAAGCTAATGATCCAACCAGCGGACCAAATTCGGTGATGAATCCTGGTCACGTGCCACTTGAGGCACGTTGCACATATGCTAAGAAGAAGTGCCGAACAAGGGAGATTAAACGCCCTGAGCTGCAGTCCTGGCAAATTTCTTGATCCTTCACTACCTTGGTAAATCATTTATTAGAGCAGCCTTTTTACATAATCCCTGAAAAAAACATAAAATAGATTTATCACAAAATCCTGTCCTCCTACCAACCATCTACAGACTGGTACATATATTTCTCTGATTATTAATTAACTGATGCACAGAAACTGCTTTAAGCTTTTTAACCTCTCCCTCTCTTTCTTTGTCCTTCAAGAGTGGAGACCACAATGCAGGGGAGATGTTAAAAATAGGGGGTGTTACCAGAATGGGTGGTGCATTAAAGTTGTGCTTTAAAGTCAATAGCAGAAGACCCCGGAATTAAAGACATTCAGTAAAATGTTTGTCGTCTTTTTGTGCCAAATTCTCCTCTTAGTGATGCCAGTATAAAACTGGAGTAGATCTGCTGAAGTTGGTGGAGTTACTCTAGATTCACCCTTGAATAATGGAGAGCAAAATGTTCCTCATTATCTTTACCCTGCTTGCAAAGTCTCCTTAGAAGAAAAATGGCACTTATGTGGAAGTTATCTAATCCACTAGCAGGCATCTGACCCGAAAAGAGAAAAGGATTTGACACTGTAGTCACTGCTGTCTAACCATCGATTGCCTAGCACTGTGGCCTCTCAGTTTTCAGGTTGAACCAGAGCATCTCTGCTATTTGGAGTCCGGGTAACTGCCTTACCAGCCTGCAAAGCATCCCCCAGAAATAATACAGGGTGTGTAGAGCTGAGTGTATCAGAGCACATCAGGCCACTCACGGCCAAAACGATCACCTTCAGACTGGAGACACTGGCTCTCCACTCCTGGGAAATACCACACCAGCTGCTGGCTAGCAGAGCATTTTTCGTGCCATGATGAAAGAAGTCTGAAAAAAGGACATTCTAAAGAACCTAAGCGTGGCCCTGGGTACATACCCAGTACCAAAGAACATCCAGGTACCTCTCCCTGCTCTTCTTCCCTAAGCTCTCTCTGCAACATGGTGGGTGACCACCTTTTCTATCATCTTTGGAAGTGCCACCTGTTATAGTTTGGTATTCCGGGTGGTGTCACACAGAACAGTCACCCTTAGAAGTCTCCCGTAAAAGCTATGACTTAGTAGCACCATTATAAGTCTTTGAGCTTGTCCAGATGAGAGAAACTGTCAGTGGAGTAACTACATCAGTGTCGTCACCCCAGTGTAAAGCCCTAGCATAGATGTACTGGTGCAAAACAAATCCCACTGCCTCTGTAGAAAAGCAGCACAATAAGCATCTTGCCGACACGCAGCTGGAGGTCCTTGTCTTTGAGCGTTTAAGTTCCCACTTGTGGCACCACCTTCAGGAGTGCCCAACCCGACATCCACTAATTAGCACCCCTGTAACATCATGATGTAAGTCCTAGACAGATGGGTCCTGCGCTATGGAAACCGTGGGCACACAGTATTTTGCAAGGGAGGCAGCTGGGGGGATGGAACCCCACATTCAGAGGTAGGTCAACACATGACTGTTGGTAGTTACCCCGCTGAAACCAGCCCATCTCTGAATGAGGCATGTTCTTCTCCTGTCTGGAGTAAGAGCATTGAGAGTCTAGAAGAGAGTTGTGGGGGAAACAGCTCTTATTAAGAGCTGCATTCAAAGACATGGGCCAGGTGAATAGCAATTTCAACTTAGGGATCTTGGGAAATACACCCACTGGAGCTCCCAGGGCCTGCTCCTGCTCCACTGAAGTCCATGGGAGCTTTGCTAGCTCCTTCATTGGCAGCACGATCAGGACCCTATTGAGTGACAAGTCAGTCAACCAATCAAACACAACCTAGGATCATCACATTATCAGACCTCTTATTGGCTGATCCATGAGCCCAGGGGCAGGATAATTGTTATCTAACAACATCCAAGATCTGATTGACTCTTTCATGAGTTTCACCTACCATCGCGCTCCAGTTTTCTGTCAAGAAAATGAGACCTAGCATGTGGGGCAAGCAAAGGTCTTTGCTCCCATCTTCACCACTGCAATACCAGAACCCCCTCATCTGTGCTGTGCTCTAAGGACAACTCCACAAAGACCTGGTTACTGACTTCGGTGCAGGGGAAGGGAGCCCAGGTTACTTCCATGTGCTGACCCAGCATTACCACTTGAAGATGTGACTACCACACTCACTTGGGATATCATCTGACCTTGATGTAACCCTTAACTTCATTCGTTTCCCGGTCTCTCACAGGGCTGCATTAACAGCCAAAGGCAGAGCGTGCGGGTTTAAGACTGGTTTGTGTGTGTGCGTCTGTGTGTGATTCGTGAAAGAACTCAGTCCTGTAGCGTGTGAGACTTGCTGATAACCCGGGATTAGATCAGAGATGAGACACTGATGAGGACTCTGAGCACATGGAGGTGCAGGGCTGGGAACCACGTTCCATTCCATTGTCAGGGGCAGGCATGTGTCTGTCAGCAAGGACTCACCCTTAGCTTTTGGGGTTCTAAAACTGCCTCTTTGCTCACCCTGTTTATCAGCAAACCCTGGACTCTGGGGGATGGTTTGTGCTGCCAGAGCCCTGTGTAGGAGGATGACCATAGAGGGCTAAAAGGTTTTGTCTGAAGCACAGGGCTGTTGTTCCACAGCATCCATGCACAGACCTGAGGGAGGTGGTCATCACATGAGGCTGCTCACTGCTGGAGCATGAGGGGCGTTTCTTGCATGTTGCAGTGGCCTCATGCTTCTCCGGACACCACAGTCACCAGCTAAATGCACACCCGGAAGGGAGGGCAGAACTCCCAGCAATCTTCAGAAGCAGAGGTTTCTATTGCTAGATCTAAAGTAGGACCCCAAGAAGTAGCTAATCCCATTACCATCCGTGTCGTTATAATGGTTTCCAGCCATTGGGGGGGCGAGGCCACGATGACAAGCTCTGCTCTCCGCCATTAAAAAATAATAAATAAGACTCAGTTCCAAGTATGCAAACTAAGCCGGCTGCTCGAGCACACCATGGACTTGTGCTAGCTGCATCTCCACTCGGACTCTGTCTCAACATGCTGGGAACTGACCTGCCCTCGCTCGTCTGGTCCCAAAGTGGTCCCCTTAGCCTCTTATAATTGCCCCATTTACATGTCCAGTCACTAAGGGTGATCGCATCCCAGCGAGCTCTACATGCCTGCTTGCAAAGCACAATGCTGTCTAGATGCCGGGCAAAGTAACCGGAGCTATGCATGTAACCCCATTAGGGAAGTGTGGGTGTTTGCCTCCCTCAAAAGTATGAATAAGAGTCCGCTACTGCTAGCAGTTAATGGAGCTGCTCCTTCACTTCAAGTGGTAACTGTTCAAGTTTTTAGTGCAGATGTTCTAGGGTATGAGCCAGCTCAGGTTGGCATGGGAAGGTCATTGGGTTTCCCCCATATTTAATTTGCCATTATAAGCAAGTCGTTATGGATAGATCAAGTTCCCGCATTCATAAATGCAGCGGGGAGAGGAGAAGGCGCTGCAGAGAAGATAAGAGGGAAACATCAAGGGTGGTAGAAGCGGATTTACCCCAGCTTTGGGAGAGAGACACACAGAATAAGTGCCTTGAAAATGACTCATGACAAGTGCCAACTCGCACTTAGAGCTGGCCTGGCCTCAGAGCTGCATACATTAATGCTGGGGACCCTGGGGACACTCAGGACCCTGAACGCTGTGTGGTGTAATGTCTGGAACTGCTTTCGGATCCGACACTGTGATCTGTAACAACCCACCCCATTGGCAACCATCTTCCCCTCACCCTCCCTCCCACCCACCTCCCCAAGCCTTTCCTCGCCCCCACCCCATGTTCATTCTAAGTGGTCTTGCATGTAGTTCTGCAGCCCCCTTCAGTTCGTTAAACCCCCCGCCTTGCCTCGTGTTTTGACAGGGTTTGTGAGTTTTGACAACCCCGCCAGTGCCCAGGCTGCCATCCAGGCGATGAATGGTTTCCAGATTGGCATGAAGAGGCTGAAGGTGCAGCTGAAGAGGCCGAAGGACGCTAACCGCCCCTACTGAAGAGTTGTGGGAACCGCTGGATACACATGACTAGCACAGGTAACTGCACGGGGGAGGGGACGTCACTCGTTGTCGTACAGAGTCTGTGTTGTGGACCCTAAAGATTAGTTCTGCGGCTCTCTGGCTTCTATCTTTTCTACTAGATCTCTGGCTAGAGCCACACCACCACACACACACACACACACACACAATAGGAACTGGTTGTGTGCGCACTTTGGTAGAAAGAGAGGCAGGAAGAGGCTAAATGTGGGACGGGCCAATTGTCTCCTCCCGGTGGCATCACGTGACTGTGATGAGACTTTCTGACCACTAGGGAGGATAGCAGCTGTTCCGGTCACCTGCTCAGCCATAGAAAGGATTCTGAGGCCAAAGAAGACCTGTAATTAAGAGGTGGGAACCAGGCTGCAGTTTAATTCCAGGCAGTTGGACCAGTCCGGCGTATAGAGCAGTAGCTCCATGTTACAAACATTCCAAAGCATTTTTCATTCTTCATATGGTATAGTTCATACCCAGTTTCATCTCAGCATGATAAAGTCCTGTAAATAGGTCTCCTTGACACCTAAATATCCCCTAATATCTTCCCTGCTAAACTAGAGAAATGGATAAAGGAATTCATGCTCATGTCCTCACTCAGCTTCTGTTAATTCCTTACTCGGATAAAACTCCCACTGAAGCCAACAGGAGCTTTGCTGGAGTGAGGACTTGGTTAAAAATGGAATAATGACCTCAAGATTAGCCTCGTGGACAGTAAATTGTTTGCTGTTGGGAGGCAGCAAACTTGGTACTCTAAGGGAATTTCTAAGTACATACAACAGTGCCAAAAATATCAGCACAACTCACTTGTTTTGGTGGAATTTAAGCCTGCCCCCGGCAGCAAAATGGAGTCTAGGCTTTGGGTAAACTTTTCAAAAGATCCTAAGTGTCCCATTTTCAGAAGTCATATAGGGTATGTCTACACTGCATTGTAAACACGGATCTATGGGACCCAGGCTAGTGGACTGTCCTCTTCCAAGCCTGCACATGGTCATCCACATTGCATTGTAAACTGCTGGACCCGGGGTCTCACAGCCATGTTAACACCTCCACACTGCCCTAAGCAGACCTTCTGGCTTGAGCTGTGTCTACTCAGGCATGGACCTAAGTCACAGCAGGACCTGGGTTCTGAACCACCCCCTCAGTGGGGGTTATTCAACTTGGGTCCTGAGTGCTTGCTGACCTGAGTCAGACTGATTTGTGTGTGGATGGATGTGGGGCTTAGGTTCAAACCTGAGTCAGAACCCAGGCTTAGGTTTCATCTACACAGGGATAAAAAAAACCCGGCTGGCCCGGGTCAGCTGACATAGGGATTGGGCTGTGGGGCTAAAAATTGCTGTGTAGACATTCAGGCTCAGTCTGGAGACCGAGCTCTGGGACCCTGTGAGAGTGGGGAGTCCCAGAGCTTGGGATCCAGCCTGAGCCCAGATGTTTGCACAGCAATTTTTAGCCCCACAGCCCAATCCCCATGCGCCTGAGTCAGCTGACCCGAGTCAACCATGGCCATGCTGCAGGTCTCTTAGCCCTGTACCACCATACCCCGGTGTACAGTCTAGCTATACCCAGAGGTGCTTAGAATTTTCAGTGGGACGTAGGCTTCTAAGATCAAGACCCTCAAAGGTATTTAGGTACCTAATTCCCATTGATTTATTTCAGTGGAAGTTAGGCACCTAAATACTGGAGGATCTGGGTCTTACGTGGTTTTTGAAAATGGGAAGTAGGGTCCCAAGTCACTTAGGTGCTTTTGAAAATTTATACATTTCTGTCCCTGCAATAGCTGGTTCTCATCTCCAACGCAAAGTGATACCATTACTACACTAATAGTGCCCTACCATTTAGCTATTGAAGATGAAACGCATGCTGATAGGTGGTGCAGAAGCAGCCAGCCTGGTGCTGCATTGGTTGAACACCGGTATTTCTGATGGCGACTGCATAGCATGGTGGCATTGAGACATCACTGATGATAGTTCAGTTCCTATCTTCAAAGGCCAGAGGCCTCCCTTTCCAAAAAGGGCATGACATGGTGTATGGTTTGGCAAGTTACAGTGTGTCAGCACACGGTAAGGTAGAAACCATTGTCCTTGATCTGGTGAGTGGATATTGCTCTTCTTCCTGATGACCGTCCATATCTCCACTCAGCCCCTCTCCCGCTGGTCCCAAAATGTTATGCATTGGCTGGTTTCCCAGTTCCTAGGAAAATATATATGGATGAGTGGTTTATTATGGAGATGGGGTAGCCAGCCATTCCATAGTTAAAGCTATATGTACGTTTCTATTAGAAGGTCAGTACCAGAGATGTACCTGGACTGCAAAGATTAGTTTTGGATTTCCAAACTTTTCCAACATTTGGGGGTTTGAGGATCTAAGATTTTGATTCAGGTCATCACAGAATTAGGGGTCAACCATCAATTGCCCAGATTTGACCTTCCCCAACCTTCCAGGGTGTTTAGTCCCAGTTTCCCATCTTTCACTGATATGTAGAATATCACTGAAAGTACCCTATTCTAGTCTTCGTGCCAAAACTCTGTTCCCTCTAGAATCAATGCACTGGAGGCAAGACATGAAATGGATTAAGGAACTCCCTCTCCATAAATGCATTAGTTTAACATGTTAATTTCACACAGGTCATTTGAATCTCTCAGGGCGATAATGGCTCAGGAAAGATGCAGTCTCAGATTGCCAAAGTATTCTTCCACCCTTTTTAAAATACCTTTTCTTTTCCTTGCTTATGACAAGGCCTCTTGGAAGCTTGAAACTGAAATATGTTTCCATAGCCAAATGCTTTTTTGCTTCATCATCCTGTGCACACGCTGGCTTCTTATTGCAGGTGCTGGAGGCATGCACGCTAATTTCTTAACACAGTACACCGATGCTCCTAAGAGATTTTCAGTTGCATCTAATAGATTTAGGAGTGCAAGTCCACTGGGTTTTGAAAATCTCACCCTGAATGCTGAGCGCTGCACACTGGCATAGAATTGTAGGGTAGCTTTGAGTGCTGAGCTGTACACACTTGTTTGTTGTTATAGGTGAATCATGAGCCCTGGGCTGTACACACTGGTTTGTTATTGTAGGGTGGCTCTTAAGCACGGGGCTGCACACACTGGTTTGGCGTGATAAGGCTAATCACGAGGGCTGAGCTGCGTTCACTGACTTATTATAAGAGGGCTGCTCCTGGGTAGGGCAAGTGGTTTTTACTAATAAATTATACAAAAAGTAATTGTCTGGTGATGAGAAACAAGCTGGTGTCAGAAATCTACTTGCCCTTCAGAGCTTATTTTCTGCCTTGGCTTCTGTGGGGCAGAAGCAACTGTTCTGCACAGAGTATTCTAATTGTTGAGTACCTTAGCCTCCCACGCAGTCTAGGTTTTAACTGAGCTTCTCTCAGGTTTTTCAGTAAAACTGAGTCAGCTGTTAGAATCATAGACTATCGGGGTTGGAAGGGACCTCAGGTCGTCATCTAGTCCCACCCCTTGCTCAAAGCAGGACCAATTCCCAATTAAATCATCCCAGCCAGGGCTTTGTCAAGCCTGACCTTAAAAACCTCTAAGGAAGGAGATTCCACCACCTCCCTAGGGAACCCATTCCAGTGCCATCCAATCTGCTCCACCCTCTGCCTATAGTGTCTGTAATTATAGGTGTGTGGGGGGGGCCAGCACAGTGGGGCCCTCCTCCTCATTGGATGCCTCCTAAATAAACAAACAATCATTATTTTCTAACTGCCTCATTCCTGGTGTAAATGTTGACAGAGCTGAGGACCAGCTCCCTTGTAGCAGGAGACGTTTGCGCCGGCACAATTTAGGTGTAAAATTGCAAGTGTCAGAAAGAAAAGCGGGTGCAGATGTGAGTGACTTGCGCCTGTGCCTGCCTCATATGCAGCTGTGGTTGAATTGCAGGTGGGCACAGGTGGAAAAGAAGAGAATGAGAATGGGGCCCCTTGTGATCATGGAAGAAGTGCATCTTGGGGAGAGGTTGGAATGAAATGAAGGTGGTAGTTTGGCAAGCTAGAACGGGGAAGACCAGGAGGTATCATGGAGACCAGGAGGTGTCGTGGAGATTCAGAGGCATTTAGATCCTGTTTCAGGCCCATCTCTGCTTCAGAGGGAATAAGAGATACCATCAGTTAAGCATACTCATTGGAGGTCAATCCGTACCTAGCACTGTTACAAGAACAAGGTTCCTAAAGACATCCATGATGGGGACCAAAAGCCAGGGAGGCAAAGATAGATAGATGCTGCAAAGTTGTGAGGTAAACAACACACTGAAGTGACAGAACATTATATAATAGCCTGGGTAACGGGTTTTTTCAGACTCAGTTCATTAAGATACTTAATTGTACACCTAGCTTTAAGCACACAAGTCAGCTCATTGACTTCAGTGCAGCTACACATGCTTAAAATTAGGCATGTGCTTAAGAACCTTTCTGAATTGGCGCCTTTCCAGGGGAAACATTTGTTTTATTGGACTCCTTTGTGAAATTAGGAGGTTGCCAGCAGAAATGTGAGCTAAATCCAGCCTGATAGGATAACACAAGAATCTTTTCTTTTTCCCCCTCCCCTCCAAAAAAAAAAATCCTCTCTTTCATTCTGGATTCATGTTTTATCTAATCTCCCTTTTATGACCCAATTTGGTTTAGGCCACATTGATTTAAAGTCCTTGGTTTTCCTCACTAATGCTCTAAAGTAGCTGTCAAACACTAAAAAAAAAAAAAATTGCTGTGATGTGGCAGATAAAATCACAAGCTGCAGTGAGCAAAACCCAGAAGGATTCATATGGCAGAACGCTTCCAAAATGGCTGCCTTCTGTTCTCCCATTTCTTTCTAATTACAAAAGATTGTACCAAAAGGAAGGAGGGGAAGAAAGCAAAAGAAATAAAAGAGGATCATTTGAGGCCAAAATCAATATATTCTATTACAAATCTCCCCCTAGGAATGGGAGGCTGAGGTACTTTATGTGTCTGTCAGATAGTA